AGCGGCTATTCAGGCACTTTCCTCTAACTCTGTTAGATCTCAGCTAGTGGATGAATGTAGGAGAGAGTTGGCCTATATCTCTGATCAATACGAAATTACCCTAATATGGGTCCCGGGACATAGGGGCATCTACGGAAACGAGGCAGCGGACGAACTAGCAAGGAGTGGCTCCGCACTGGATATGTCCCACTCGGTGGACATGGGCGCCCCGCTCAGGGAGATTAAGGCAAAAATTACCGAATTTTATCATTCGAAGGCCAGGCAGAGGTGGAACTGCACAGGATCCTACAGAATTGCCCGGCAGTTCTGGGTGTCCTACGACCCACTCAAAACCAAAGCTCTCTTAGGAATGAGCAAAACAAATGCCTACAAACTTACTGTAGTGTGCACAGGGCACTGGCCCGTTGGGGTACATGCCGAAAGGATAGGACTGCCCTTCAATAGGTCCTGTCGCAGCTGCGATAACCCGGGCTCAAAAGAGACAGTCGAACACTTGCTGTGCGAGTGTCCAGCCCTCGCAAGGATGAGGCTAAATACACTCGGCAAACCATTCCTGCAGAATATTTCAGAGTGGAGCTGCCTCTCTCTGTATGGCGTACTGAAATTTATTAAAGCCGCCAAATGGCTGTAGGTTGCACGAGTTGTGGAATCAAAATGGCAAACTTGCTAATTGCTTGTCACCTGTCTGACAATTCACTTAAACCAACCAACCAACCAACTCAACAAACACCATATAAGTATCAATTTCAGGCTTTGTGCAAAAATTTCACCAACTTTTAACTTTTTAATCAGCATATTTACAAAATCGTATGTGTGCAGTTTTGTAGTCCAATGATATTTAGTATAATATAGTGAAAATTTTAAGTAGCTAGGACTTGCCGTTGATTTTTGTAATTTTTTGTTATAACGGTGTTACGAATTTTTTCCATACAAAGTATGTTCTAAAATTTTTTATATGAAGAAAAATGCGGAACACCGTCAACTAAAAATTGTCAATAATTAACGGTAGGTGCCAGCTACCTTAAATGTGCAATTCACTATACAAAAATTTTAAATTAAAACAAATGCAGAATTTTCATAACTTTTGCATAAAATATGAAATTTGGATTTAAATGGTGTTTGTAAGTAATCAGCTATACCTTCATATAAAAAAATTATAAGCTGAAATGTCGCGTCCCAGTTCATATTTGGGTCACTGAATATTCACATAAAATAACAATCATTGAAATCGGCCCGGTAATTTAAGACTTTTCGTATTAGAGAAAATTATTCAAATTTTATATACTTAACACAGTCCTAGCAGTTTCTAGGTTTTAGGTCGCCAAATATGTAAAAATGGAAACTTATATGTACATATATTTAAATTTTAATAAAATACGGCAAATAGCGAAATCGGCTAAAAACGGCTAACTTTTTTTTGCAAAACGGCTAACAAATCGGCTGCCGGCTAAATCGAATTTTCTCCGGCTGTTATCTATGCGGTCTCCACTCTTTCGAAGGTAATGCTGCGATTCCATTTAATTTTAATTTCTGTGGTAATCGTGTTTTTTGCTGGGACGTATTTGAATGTCCACATATATGTATACGTAAGTGCACATATCGAGCCATAACCGCCAAAATAGCGTAAACGACATTTTTTTCAAAATTGTATTTTTCATGCAAAAATATTCCTACACTTAGGGGAAAAAATATTAAAATCAAATAGAAACGTAATTGATCTTATTATAAACGTCAACGAAAGTACTGTATATTCGTAAATATTTAATTCAATTACGCGCATCTTAAAATGACCGCGTTCATGAAGTGAATACACAATCAAGACAAAAACAAAAAAAAATATTTAATTTGCATGTTGCCTGCAGTGGAATTCGAATCCTGACCATCTCTGGATATCAATAAATTGTGGCAAGCATATTTGCGCACTCAGCTAAAGTAAACCAAAAATTCAATTTTGTATTACAGCCATATAAATTTTCTTTCAAATGTTGAATTTCCATCAACACCACAGCACGCGATTTGTACGGATATAGATGTACTATGTATGAATGTGTGTGTTTTCACCGCTCTGCATGCTGGGGATGCGTATATACACTTACATATGCATACTAAGATGTGAACAGTCAAATACGTGCATAATAACCCTGCAGTAAAATTTAGATAGTCTGACAAAGCGCTAGTTCCGAACTACATATCTCAGAACTATCTGTGAACTAGTGCAAAAGGAATGCAGAGCGGGACAGTTGAAACTTGCGGTGTAAATGTGGAAATGCTCACTACTCGTACAATACGAAAGTAGCTCAGCGAGAAGGCCTCCGACTCAACCATCGTTGGTCGAGAGTTCAAATCGCGGTGGAGGCAGTTGTGAGTTCTCAAATTTAATGAAGTTAAATTGTTGCGTGCAGCTTGCAATATTTTTTTTTAAATATGTAACAAAAACGGAATCTGTAAAAGAAAAGAAAAAACGAAAAAAATGTCCAAAAATCGAATCGCAAAAACGTTTTGTTATAAAAAAAAACTGTCCGAAATGGAACTGGATAAAAACTGGTTGCAAAACTGCAAAAAACTGGACAGTCGGAAAAAGGTCTAGTTCTAGGCTAGTCAGATTTTCTGCAGGGAAGTTTTTGTATGAAAATATTATTTTTAAATACGAACATTTTTAAACGATAATCAAATATAAAGTATTAATTTTTACTATGCATTATTTCCCTCAGTGTAGAGCATATAGATGCATTTCTGCATCAAAAATAAAATTTTGAAAAAATGTCGCTTACGTTGTTTTGGCGGTAAAGCTCGATATGTATATATACGAAGCATCCCAGTGGGAAAAGTAGTAATGCATTACATGCACGATAAATAAAGTACTGTATTTCTTATGAGTTTTAGATTCTATCACCTTTTAATATTTAATCAGCATTCTAATGTATCCAAAAAGTCGAAAAAAATTCATATTAAATAGCATTCATTATTGCATTACTTGTAATACAAAATTGAATTTTTTGTTTACTTTTTGCATTTGCTTTGAGAACACTTGGAAGTGCGAGTATCATTATTGATACTTTTTGCAAATACGAGTACTGGAATCGATTCTTTTTAAGAGTATTCTATACATATGAGTACTACTATCGATACTTTTCTAAAAAGTTCTATCACTACGTCACACTGTTTTTCCAAAAAGTTTATAATTGTCTTATGTATTTTATTTAACTTCCCAACTATCTACAATTGGGATCCAGTTTTTAAGCAAATATCGTAGGTTTTACATTTTTCGCCGATTTCGCCTGTATTCAATACAAACCTAACCTGGACGAAGGGCAACCTTTGTACCAAATTTCGTTCAGATATCTCAGAAAACAAATATACAATCGGCTTCTCTTTTCATTCTGAGTAATGTGGGATATGTATGTGTCTATATCTATCTTGATTCTTTTAGGATGTTACAAACAACCGTTATGCGAACAAGGTTATAATACCCTTGTGCGCAGTGCGCTCGGGTATAAAAATTAACCATTTGAACCAAAACGAATCCCGGTTCGGGGGGTTTTTTTTTAAGTGGTTCAAGCCACTGAATCGAACCGAGCGGTTTGCAGCTCTGATTTTTTCTGCATTTTCGGAGTAAATTGTCAGTGCCATAGTGGATGTGAGCGATATGCTCCCATTTTAGAAATAATCCACAAACTTTGTGACGAATTGTACATACGTTCACGACTGTGACGATTGGAAACCTGGTCCATATCTACCACAAGCTTAACTGTGTTCTTTACGCACTGCTTAAGCTTAAAAATATTAACAAGTTTCCACAGGTTTTCCTGCAAAATTTATTTTTATGGTTTGCATTCTAAATTTTATATTTTTATTTTTATTGAGTAACTATTTATTAGTAGCTTTTCTTTAATGCCCGAATGGTATGTAAATTCGTATCTAAAAGCATAAACAGACGACGTACTATCGATGTTTTCCCAGGGTGGAATTATAAAGCAAACAGTACATATTTTGGATATTTTCTCTAATAACTGTAATGGTAAAAGTATATTATACAATGACTGATATCACATGTAATGTAATGCATAGTGTTAAAGAATTTTTTAGAAAACCGACCTCCGAAGGTGTTTTCAAATATACATATATAAATACATGTGTCATTAAACAGAATAATTTTGAGTTTTACAAAATATTTAATGGCCTTGTATAACTTGTCCAGTTTTAAATCTCAACTAGTATACATTTAATAGTTTTATGATTCCTCGTTTGACTCTTTTGAAATGTAGACACCATTCTTGAAATTACCAAAATATCAATATTTGGACAAACCCTCCGCGGAAAATTTTAAATGAATACTATAGAAAGCACGAATTAATTGCTTGCCAGGGGATTATTTAATATGCTGGTAATTTCAGTTCCATAAAATATTCCTCAAATTATTTCTTTGCCTAGACAATCATTAGTCTTTTAACTGTTATAAAAGACTTCACGAAAATCAAACTTTTGATGGATTCGTTAATAGAGCCGAAAATGTGCAATATTTCCTAAAATCTTTTCTAACAAATGTTATGTATACTTATGAGAAAATAAACATCGATAGTGACAGAAAAACACCGATAGTGGGGTAAATTGGCAAACATCGATACTATCGATAGTGCCATCGATTGTTTTCCAGCGCTAAAGAATTAACCAAATTTCCATTTAATTTTGAAAGGATAACGTTTGCACAGCAAAAAGGTATAATTTTATAATAATATAATACATTTTATTAAAAAAATTAAATACTTATTAGCGAAAAATTTTTTTCTCTGCCAAGTTGTAAAAGTCAAGATACGGAAATATTTTTCTAGAAAATGTTGACTGTTAGCAAGTGTATCGAGATTTTTTAGGTTTTTGCCAGTAAAAGGCAGTAATAGTCCTGATACTTTTCACGAAACAAACAATTTTTATCCTTTGTTAAACTTATTTAATTATATAAAATAATATATAAAATATATTATGCATACTGAAATTCAACTTACATCTTTAACTACTCGTCCTTAATTGGTTACTATTTTTAGGTTTTGTCAATTTGGAGTTTTATGATTTGTTAATAACGCTTCTGCTGTTATTTATTAGGTAAGCTCTTCTATATTTCTTTTTTTCATCTAATGATGTTTACGAGATAAAATTCTGCACTTTTTCGTTGTTGAGTTTAATTTGCTTCTATTGGAGATTATAAAAGTTTAAAGCCACTAGTATCTATTGGATTTAAATCTGAAATAAAAATGGATATTTATCATATATTATTATCGTAGTGGTTAATTAAAGGAGCATAATCATATTTTTAATATCTTTTTCTAATATTTAACAGAAAAGTAGATACACATACACCTACTTCTTATTTGTATTTTTATCTACAAAGCTTTCAAAATAAGGAGTTTTGTATTTAGTTGCCTTTATACAAATCAGATACCGCAACGATTGAAAATTTTATTATTAAAACTCCTATCACAAACCTAGAAATTTTAGAATTATTTGGAGCTTGATTTTATAAATTATCCTTTAATCATTTAAACTTAAATGCAAATAATACTTTTGACCTTTTATTTTGAGAAATAAAAAAAAATTACCAAAGCAGGTTTAATTCAACGTATAACTACGGTGACCATATTAACCAACGTAAAATAAAGTAAATTTTTTTCAAAATGATAAAAGTACCTTACCCATATCGTAATTTAAATCAAACATTTACTAATACATTATATTATTTAATTGTACAAGTTTCCCTTATTTAAAGGCGCTGTAAACGGAATTTTAACCGATTCCGAAAAATTAAACCCATCCCTTGGAGCCAAAATGCGTTTCTCATAATTCATACAACACGACGAAGCCAGCACACAGTGGCTTAAAATTGGAATTGGAAATTTAATCTTCGTAATTCACTAAAGCCTTCATTTTTGAATCAATTGGATTATTATTTTTTTATGAAAGCTTATAAAACTAGTAAGAGACCAGTTGAGCACGAATTTTGAAAGTGCAGAAAAAGTAGCAATTTTGAAGAATATCGATTCTCCTGTGCCAGTTAATAAATGTTACATAATAAAACCTAATTGAAAACAATTGTAGGGTTCCTCCAAAATGAAGAATAATTTAACAAGAAAAATTTGAAATGTTATAAAAAAACCACCAAAATTATAAAAATGCTTTATAGACCAATAAATTGTAGTATAATAAATCAGGGCTGCAAACCACTCCAAAAATCGGTGCGGTTCGGTTCAGTGGTTCGAACCACTTAGAAAAAACTTGTACCGGTACAAGAACCGGTTCATGAGTCTACCTGAATCGCGGTTCGGTTCGGTTCAAACGGTTCAATTTTTTTATGCTAAAGGATACAAATATTGCAAAAAATATTACAAATCTATAATATATAAATAAAAGGCTTTTTTACTGAAAAATAAGTAGGGACGCGACATTTTAGCACGTTTTGGCTATTTTTCTTTTGTTTAATATTTATTTTTGTTTTTAAACGTATAAATCCAAGTTTCGTACTTTATGCAAAATTATGAAAATTCTGGCAAGTTTCATATAAATTTCAATTTTTTTAATAATAATTTTTAAACTTTAAGTTGATTTTGGCAATTTTTCACGTATTTTCTTTCACACAACGTATGTGTGAATTTTTTTGTTGTATGGAAGAAAATGAGTAATACCCTAAAAAAAAAAATTATTTAAAATCAACGCAATCAATGGGAAACTAGAAAAATGTTCATAAACTCTTTTAAGGTTTGAACAAGTCGTGAGCCTAGTCGATTAGACAAAAACAGCATACTCAGAATTTCGAACTGACACTCAAAATGTTGGCTTAATGTTGAAATCCTCATTTTCAGTAGGTTGAAATTTAACTTGCTCTTAACTTATGTACAAGTATACCTATAGTCAAAATAATAGGAGTGCGACATTTGACTAATTTTCTTTTGTTGGTTTAATGTTCATTAATTTTTTAAAAAAGTATAGCTCGTTATATAACGACAACCATATAAATCCAAATTTAAAACTTTAATCGAAAGTATAAAGTAAAGTTTAATCGAAAGTGAAAGTATAAAATTTTTTTATCAGAACTAAAAAAATCGAAGTATGCAGTTTTATATAGCGCATAAAATTTTAGTGTAATGTGTTAAGTGCAAGTTTGAGTTATTTAAAAATTGGTCTTGATTTTTGGATTTTTTTGCTGGCGTTGTTAAGGATGTTATTCCATATAAAAACATTTCAATCATTCTTTATACAGGCGAAATTACCACTCACATAGGCGCCATCAAAGAAAAGAAATTTTGCAGGTCTACCTTACGGATTGCATTTTTAAACAAAGCTGTGTATTACAAAACATCAAAAATGCTTTAGTGGATTTTCATTTTGAACCGAGCCGAACCATTTTCTTGGGTGGTTTTCGGTTCGGTTTTGGCATTTCATTATAAAAACGGTTCGGAAAGTAATGTAAACTCGCTGCGCTAAAACCATGTAATTGTTGTTGTTTAATGTGAATAATTGTAAAGTACTCCCTGAGAAAGGCGCGAAATGTGTTAAAACGCGTAGAAGTAAAAAAGGAAAATTTTATTTTCGCTTTAATTTCCACGGCCGAGGTAGCTCATACGCAGCACATAAAAACGGTTCGGTTCGAAGCCCGAAAAAAGCGACGTTTCGGTTCAAAACCGGTTTGCAGCCCTGTAATAAATGCAAATGCAAGCGTGTAAGAGATTGCGTTGATTTTTAATAACACTAACACTTGCTAACACTTCGAGCATTATTAAAAATCAACGGTAACTCTTAGACACTTGCACCTTGCTCTTTATTGTAATAAAATTTAATGATCTATTAAACTGCATATCCCAATTTTTAGTAAAAATCAAAAAAAATAATTTTGGTGAAAATTTCAAACTTTTGCGTGACTTTTTCCATTTTGGGAGAACAAAACAATTGTTTTCAACTGGTTTTTACTAGATAACATTTATTAACTGGAAAGTAGAATACATTTTCTTCAAAATTGCTACTTTTTCTGCACTTTACACTAAAAAATTTAAAATAAGAATTCTTACAAATCAGGCTCAACTGAACACTTGCAAATTTTATAAGCTTTCATTAAAAAAAAACTAACCAAATGAGTGAATAATTAAGGCTCCAGTGAATTATGAACACTAAATGTCAGTTTTGAAACTCAGCGTGCAACACGCCCAACTTTTTATTTTCTTTTGAGAATTTTACTCGAGGTATGTATATTAATTTTTCTATCAATATTAGCAAAAAGATTACCGATTAAATAGCAACCCTTAAGAGAGGTGCGAAACAAACTAGCGAAGGTTGTCATTATATTTTATAAGGGACATTTTTATTATTTTATATTCTCTGTTCAAAAATTTACCTCTGAAGGACAAAATGGGTCCTTTATTTAAAAAAAAAAATAATAATAAAGGACAGACGGTTAAAATATAGAACTGTCCTTTAAAATAAAGGACGGATGGTCAATGTACGTATAACCCATTCTAAAAGAGTTGAAGGTAGTTTCACTTCAAACTTTTTTTGACGGATACAGGCATTTTGGAACTTTCATAATTTGTACAAGTATCAAGCAGCATAGCCACATTGTTAGGAATAAAATATAAATGATGATGTTTCGGAAAGGAATATTCTGCTGTTTTTGATGGGCCTTAGTCTCTTCCGACGATCCTAGTATCTGATAAGAAAAAGGTAGTTCCACTTTAAAATTTTTACACTGATACTGGCATTCTCGAACTCTTAAAATGTCTAGCAATTATGATTATAAAAACACGCAGTTTTATGCCATTAATAAAACAATCTAGAGAATTCTTCTTTCCGTGATAAATTTTATTTGCGTAGTTTTAAAACACATTAACATAACTACAGTGGCGGATACAGGATTTTATTTGGGGAGGGGCGATTGGGATCAACTTGTCTAATAACCTTAAATTACAGTCACATAACTTGATTCACAGCGGAGTGACCAATCACAACGGACTGACCAATCGAAGCTATATGACCCACAAGCATCCAACCAGCTTGAACCCTCATATATTTTACCTGCAATTAGAGGTTCGAGTAATATTATGAAGTGCAAAGTAAACTGTGTTGTGATATAATTTTACTTTTAGTAAGTTTCAGTTTGTGAATTTAGTGCAAGATCTATTTACAGACTCCCTTGTAATAAAGCAATTATACTAATGTATATATAAATACTTATTTTTTTCTTACAAGCTTGTCAAATGAAGGATGTAATTAAGTAACCTTAAAACATATACAGAATTTTGATTATAATAAGTGCTAAACCTATCAGACTTTTTTCATTAATGGCTACGCAAACATGTTTTTAACCGGCGAAGGGTTACAAACTTCATTCTAAAGTAGCGTTTGCTAATCAATGGAAAACATATTCGTTGCATTTACCAATAAATTCTGCTCTTGATTTTTGGAATGGCTTTTCGCTTTGTCCATCGTTCTGACCACACTTTATACTCTCCTGTCAACCTAATAGCGTCCTTTTCTAAGAAAAAAATCTTATCGTTTTCCATCCTTTAATCATGTAGTATATCAGGCCCTACATAATTTATTGTAACCGTCGAATACAGATGTTTTCGTAAAATATGCTCTTATAATAAAAATTAATAAGGATGGTAAGGAACGGTTATGGAAATGTTTTTAATTTTTAATATATTTTTCAAGTCATTAATGTTTTTATGCCCATACAAATGTCTGGTTACACAGTTGAATATGAAATTTTCTAAGTTCACCGCGGAAGTAGACAAAAAGGAGTATCAGAAACTTGTTCCCTTATTATGAGTTGTATCCGATTTTAGATCTTCGCTGTTTATCGGAGATCGAATGTAAAATTCGTATTATGAGCTATGCAACCGCGTTGAAATTTTCGTTGAGTATCGAATTTTCTGTCGAACAGAATTTAGCTTTCGATGCTGTAGTGAAGTGTCAGAGAATTGTGAAAAATGTATAATTTTGCGTTGCTAGACACAAATTTTAAACAATTTTTATTACTTTCATGCAGGTCAAACTTCGTGAATACTAAACACAAGCTCGAAAGGCTGGTTTCTCAGAAAATCCCAATACTCAGTTCGCACGATCTCTGAGAACAAAATCGTAGAGCTGTTGGTAGTTTTAAAATATTTTAAATAGATTTGGCTCGAAAGCACTGCTGCAGAAGATTATATCTGGAACCACTTATGATAAAGTAATGGAATTTGATACACCTAT